CCACTGAAATCAGGAAGAAGAGGAAGAAAATGAAGGAAATGAAATTTCAGGCAGATTTTATTTCCTTTATAGTTAATACTTATTGAATTATGCAAAGACTACAATTTTTTTATATACAGTAATACCTTGGTTTGTGAGCATAATTCATTCCAGAAACAATCTACTTGTATTGCAAGACATTACTCATTTACCACGTTAAAATGTATTAGAAATGTTTGCTCGTCTTGCAGAACACTCACAAACCAAGTTACTCGCAATTCAAGGTTTTACTGTATATATAATTGAAAGCTCCATAGTACAGTGGTTCCAAACTTACCTGCACGTTACAGTCACCTAGGGAACTTTTTCAAAATCCCAAAGCCCAGATCCCACCGTAGACCAATTAAATTACAATCCCTAGGGTTGGGACCAAGGCATCAGTACTTTTGAAGCTCCCCAGATGCTTCCAAAGTGCAGAAAAGTTTGGGAACCACTGCCACTGGGAATGTAAATGGGTTTGAGGCCTGTCTTTGCCCAGGTGCATTAGAAACATCCATCATCAGATGTTCAGGTCTCTATAGTTTTCAGAGACTCATTCAACAAATATTTTTTGAGAATTAACTATGCATTAGGCAATAGACAATAGGGATACAGGAGTGACCTATTCCCTAACTTCAGGAAACTTGGAGGGATAGACAAGAAGTAAATAAAAGGTGAATTTAGGTCATGTGGATTAGTACAACCAGAATGAACATAATGCAAACAGATGATGAGATGTTGTAAGGTGGGAGTGGTAACTCAGCACTGTGAACAGTGTTAGGGAGGGCAGTCTAATGAACATCTCCACTGGGATCTCAAACTTAACACATCCAAATCCGAGTTTCTTGTGTTCCCCCACTCCCCAAACTACACTACCAGTCTTGCCCATTTCAGTTACTTCCACTTTGACTGCTGTCCCCCAAACCTACTCCAGCAGCAAATCCTGCTGGTTCTACCTTCAAAATATATTCAGAATTTGACCACTTCTCACCACCCGGGTTCAAGCACAATTCTCTCACCTATATTGTGATAGTCTCCTGTTCTTCCTGCTTCGGCCCCTGCCTCCCTTCAGCTTAGCCTCACCACAGCAGCTAGAGTAATCCCGTTAAAATACTAAGTGATCATTTCGTTCCTGTGCTCCAACCCCACAAATGCTTCTCATATCACTCAGAGTGAAAGCCAGTCTTGTCTTTGATACTTGGCTCACTGTGCTCCAGTCACACTGGTCACTTCAGTGATCTCCTCCATGCTAGGCATGCTCCCCTTGTGGGGCCTTCACACAGCTGTTCTTTAAGGATAGAAGGCTTCCCCTAACCCCGCGGTTCTCAACCTTCCTAATGCCACGACCCCTTAATACAGTTCCTCTTGTGGTGACCCTCAACCATAAAATTATTTTCGTTGCTACTCTATAACTGTAATTTTGCTACTGTTATGAATCGTAATGTAAATATCTTTTTGTTTTCCGATGGTCTTAGG